TAGTGACAGTCCATCACTCAAATAGTCCTCAGTAATGAGCCAACCAGCCACAGGTGTGTGGGAGGACCAACGAGAACAGGGCACCACCTGGTGGTGGAGGGAGAGAAAAACACAAAAACACAGCCCACACAAACTGGATTCCTAACAGTACTGTGATGATCACAGAAGCCTGACTGGTAGCAGCTGAAGCATCTGTTCATAGTTAGGAAGATGTTTTTCTGTTAAAATTAAGCTTTTTCAGTAATTTTACTGATGGAGGGGAGTTTTAACATGGGCCTATAGTTCTGCAGTAGTGGCTTGTCCAAGTTGTTCCTTTTGAACAGCAGTTTAAATTTCAACTTTTAAAGCCTGGGGAAAAAAACCTAACCTAAGAGATACATACATAGTTATTATTTGAGTTAACTTAAATGTTTTGTCAGGTAGCGCTCTCAAGGAAGGCTGCGTGTAAAATATCGAGGCAGTAGGAGGAGAAGCTTAGTCCGTGTAGAAATTCTTTCTAGTTTTTTGTAGTTTATTTGATGAAAATAGGATATTTTGTAAAGATCAGTTATAGTTTGAGACAGCCTTGACACATGATTTGATATGAGTGTACAGATTGCCCCTCTAATCCTTGGTCATCTAAAGGAACAACTGAAGATATATTAACATCACCACGAATTAAAATGTTGAGTAATGAAGAACGGTAAACAATAATATGTAATCTTGCACATCATTCCATTTTTAAGTAAGTTAAAATTGTGTAGGTTTGTATATATATATATATATATATATATATATATATATATATAGCAATTTTTATAAATGCCTGCATTTATTAAAATTACTAAAATTAATTAGACTAACAACAAAAAGTGTTTCTAGGTAATATAAGGGAAATGGTTATAGGAACAGAGAATCGCTGCCGACCAGGAAGTTTTAACTTCTGCTTTAATCCCTTCATATCCCAAGAAAAAAAAAAAAGTTTAGTATTTCTTCTTTCCTTTATCTCCATCGCTGCTCGTGATAATCACGATATCCTTTTTTACATTCCTGATGGTATTTAGCACAGTTTTCCTTGTTCTTGTTAATAGACCTGTACAGCTCATATGTTTAATAATAAATAATAATATAAATAAAAAGAACTGGAATAGTTTTTTGGGAAAAACTATTTATAATGCAGATGGATCACTCAAATCCACAGAAGAACCATACAGGAGTTTGTACCAATGAGGTTCTTTATCAAGCTGGGAGAAAGCGGAGCACAAAAATAACAAATATATGTATTTTAGATCTGTAAAATATATATATTTTAGTGACATATGTCTCTCTCCAGAACTTATTTAACATGACTATACTGTACATATTTAAAAATTTGTACTTTGTTATTAATTTTTCCCATTGAAAATATCCAATTAAATATGAGATTCTGGTCAGCTTTTAAACTCTGTGTTTAATACGTTTATCCCTCAGACAATTCTAAGAAAGCAAGAGAATCAGACAATTTCTTAGAATCAGACAATTCTAAGAAAGCAAGAGGTTTGAAATAAACTTTTTTCCCAAGAGGGAACGACTAATAAAGGTGTGCTAAAGCATGCAGAGCCCATTTTTCCTGGTGCACGCTCTGTTTAAAAGTGCTGTTCTCATAGCAGCTCATACAAGCTTATTGTGTCTGAACGTCCGCCCTAACCCCTAAATCCCTCAATCACTATATATAGTGAGGACTATATAGTGGACTTTAAGGCAAAATGCTTTTTTCTCCCCTTTGGTCACATAACTCCTCCTCCAATACGCAATGCCTTCGCAATCTTTATTATTAGTCGCCGCTGTCTGGTAGCGACAGCAGGCTGCTGTGAGATCACATCCCATAATGCTTTGCAAGGAGACCTCTCTTGCCTCTTCTGAGGCCGTTTTTTCTCCTCATACATGGGCTTTCAGACACAATAAGCTTGTATCAGCTATGAGAACAGCACTTTTAAACAGAGCGTGCACTGGGAAAAATGGGCTCTGCATGCTCTAGCAGACCTTTATTAGGCGTTCCCTCTTGGGAGCGGGTACAGGGTTGTGCATGTGCATTTTTCTTTTAAGTGAAGAGGGAAGGTCTTTTAAAAAAATTGTGAAAATCCTCCACTGTTAGGATAACCTAGGTTGGCTTAACAGCTCATTTTTTTCATTTTTCTTTTTTTATTTCAAAAAGTTTATTTCAAACCTGCACACACAGCTCCAAAGTAGATAAAGCAAATGCAACTACTAAATGTTGGTCGTCATCAAGTCAGTGATGGAAAAATTATTATCATAGCCATACAATAGAGAACAAAAAACATGTCTGATCAGATAACTTTCATATCTATTTTGCTGCCTAACAATAACTTTTAGCTTAGCTGGGTTTCTTTTTTAGTGATGGATCCTGCCCTCCCAAGCTTTTTAGAAGAGCAGCCTGTAGAGAGCATTAATATGAACCAAGTGTTGAATATTGACTTGAAAAATAATTCATTATATCTCAAGTTAAGCTAATATCTGAGTCACTTTAAGTAATAAAAAAATCTGTTACGAAAATCTAAACATGTTCAGCTTCTTGTGATAAAACATTTAAGTTATGTTATCTCCCATATGCTACTGTCAAAGTTAAAGGAGGACAGTAAAATATTAGCTTAAAATGCATTTATACATTTTCTACTGGTTATTCTGAGATTTTTTGGTTTTCTTTAGTTTTTCTTTCATTTAAAATTTTTAAGACTTGAAGTACTTGTCATGATCTTGATGACTGGCTTAATTGGTCATTTCATTCACCTTCCTAGCTCCACCAAGTTTCTCATCACTGTTCAATTAACAGTCATCAATGCCAGATTATTCAAGCCTTTGTTGAGAGTTCTTTAGCCTACCTGATTGTGTTCTATTTGACTGATTCTGACCTGTTCTTTGGACCTCTGGTCCTGCCTGTTCCTGTTCTGATCTGTTTGTCTGACCTTTCTTCGGACTCTTGCTGGATTCTGCCTGTTGACCAAATCTGGATCTGCTTCCTGACTCAGACCTGAATTTTCCTTCGGTACCTCTTCGAATCTTTGGATTGTGCTGTTTCCTTCGCCTGCTTTGACCTGATCTCCTGTCGGTTCTGCTGTCTTCAAGCTTTCAGTGTCTGGAACTCTCTGGGCAGCATTTGTTGCATCGTTTTGGCAGCCGTGTAGTTGAAATCCACCTCCTCCTCTGGGTATGGAACGATCTTTAAGACAGGGTTAGTGACTCACACATTTGTAATCCTCCGTCAGATTACGTGATCACTAACCTGTTTCCCTCCTGCGGAGTTTCCTGCCCTAGATGCCCTAGCTGCTATTGCCCATCCATCGTTTTTAAATAAACACTTTTTTTTATTAATCTTACTGCTCCCTTGCTTTGAATACTGGGTCCTCTGTTCTGAGCCTTGACAACACCAAATCCACAATCGTTCAAATACTACTAGATCAAAACTTCTGGAGCACCCCAGGGCTGACTGTTAGGTCCATTATCTACCCTATGGTCTTGATCAGCTCTACACCCTCTACAGAGAGCTCAAGGGTTAATGGGAGTTTGTCCAACCAGTCCATATGTGCTTTGCAGACCTGGTGAAGGCATTTGACCATGTCACTCGCAGTGCCTTGTAAGGGAACTCAAGGAGAATGGAGTCAGTGCCTCTTCACCAGGGATTATCAGGTCACATCTTAAAAATGACATCCAGTCTTGTTTGGGTCATTTTGAATTAGAAATAGAAAATATCTGATTCTATAAATGGGTATAGAAAGGTGGTTTGTGTTTCGCTGAGAAGAAATGTGTGTGGGGGGAGTTTTAAATGGTTGTTATTGACTGTTGCCAAGGGGCTATTTAGGTGGTGGGTAACCAGGCAAGACACAACAAAGGGCAAAAAATAGAAATAAGCTGTAATCTTCTATTTTAGTAACTTTATAAACTGTATCTGTAGTCTGCAGATGTATCTTTTTAAATAAATACATACAGTGCAATACAAATAAAACCCAGACCTGGAAAATACTAAAATCAAATTAAAGACTTTACCAATCTGACAAGCCCAATATGCTTAAAATGTCAAAAATAAAATATCTGAACATGATGCCACATAATGCTTTCTGTATCATTGGAACTAAGTCTTACTTCATTTTAAAGCTATTGGATTTGAGTTACAGCTTCCCAGAAATGCCCTTCAACAAATAAAGCTGACAAAGACAACTGAAAGAAAAGTTTTCCACTAACTTCCTTTAATGAAAACGTCACCCAACCATCCCAGTTCTTTGTAAAAGGAAGTCCCAAGCTCAGCGAATCACCATACATTGACAGTTACTATCATACCTCAGAAACTTGCTGGACCTGCCTGAAAAAAAATGTCTTAGGTTAGAAGATCTCAAGAAAAACCTATTTTTTTATCCACATTTTAGGCCTGACCCCCTTATATGAAACAGCCACGTTGTGATGGCTTTCTACTCAGAGACTTTTCATCTTTTTTTTTGTCTTTTATGAGTAAATAAGGATAAATAACATTTTTTTTAGCTTTTGGTGTTGCACTAAAGCTACAAATAACTGTTAAATGTATATATAAATAACACAGAATAAGGTATAGTTTAATTCCTAACGCTAACATATTATTTATAAAAAACTATTTTAAAGGTTACTGTGTTTTTAAGTGCTAAAAAAAAAAGATCCCAATGAAGTTTTGAAACTATTGTAGTTTTTCCATTTGCAAGATCAATACAGCAAAAAGATGTGCAGCAAAAAAGAAAAACTGTGGTGATAAATAAGGCAGTTTAATGAACTTTCTATAATATCTTTCCAAAGATTTCAAAACCAAAAGGAACATTTAGATGAAATCATCGGCATGCCCTGGTATGCAATGACATGCAGCAGTTGGGGGAAACGTTGATGATGTATAAAGCTTGAGGACTGTAAATATATTTAGTCAGTAAGGAGGCAGAAGTAAATAAAGACACACGCCTCAGTGTTCTAAAAATGACATTATAAACAACTCTTTGTTCTTGCTGCTTTGAAAGTAAACGGTGGGGGGGCCTCTTGGATCACTTCCTTTCTAAACCATAAGCTCGAGCATATGCGCAAATGTGCAGTGACAAGTGAGATAAGTGCTGCAGAGGCAGGAAATAACCTCGATGATGGAAAGTTCTTCTTTTCAGCCAAATGTGAGGAGGACGACAATGAAGATGGCATCGATGTCTCTAGTCTCTGTGTTTCTGCTCAGCTGCCTCGCTGTCACCTCCATCAGCTCTCAAGGTATAGATTAATATAAGTAATCTCTATTTACTGCTAAAAGGAGAAGAAGTGGTACTAATGTAAAGCACGATTTAGGATTGGTGTGATTTTAGTAGTTGGTTCTCTGGAAAGTTCTATCTTTTCTTCTTACTTCAAGCTGTCCTTTGCTCTCTTATTTGTTAAAAACATAAATTATTCCATGTGGGATGTTTCTATTAGATTTTATGCAGTGAAATCCAAATTCAAGTAATTTTTTAAAGAAAAACTAGTTTATATAAAACTTGTTAGTTTAAAAACCCATATTTAATTAAATTAAGTAAATAAAATCAATTGTTTTCAACCACAAACCTATAGAGTATATTTTTATCTTATTTAGATTGTATATTTAGTCACTTAAAAAGAAAAGAGGATTCACAGCTACAGCAGACCTCCCATCAGTGTTTTTTACATTTCATCTCTATATGAGCTGTAAATCGCCCATTTGTTCAGGTTTTTACAGCACATATAAATTCCTTTATTTTATTTATTTAGAAAAAATGTTGGCCAGAATTTGGAGATAAAAATGGCAGCAATGAGCTAACCAGCCATATATAGAAACATCATCCCTGAGTGGTACTTCAGCCGACAGAAAAAGGTGCTGCTGTGGTCTGAAATAAGGTTGCAGAGGACAAACAGGAAGACGCTGCAAAAGCTAAAAAATGAAGGTGACCGTGCAGCATATAAAAATTTTTTCTAAATGCACACAAACGTAATAGTACCATTAATCATATATATTAAGGTAATATACTCAGATAATTAAAAATAGAAAGTTTCGATAAAATCTGTTTTATAAAATTTAATAAAGGTCTTAAATGAAATATATAATTATTGAGTTTTTGTAAGGTATTCTTACAATATTAATCTTTTGCAATCTGATCTGATGCAATATTGACTAGAAATGCAATAAGTTCAAAATATGCATTTAATTTTGTTTTGTTATCAGTATTTAAAAGATTTTCTGTGGCATCAATGCTCAAGCTTGGGTGTGTATTTTTAGTTGCAGATGAATTCAAATTAAACTTATGATTGCACAAAGGGAAGGAAGTTTTATCGGCATTCAAAAACCATATCAAAACCTGAAGAATTGGTTTATAACAGCTAAAGCAGCACAGATCAGCCTAACCACATTCAGACGCAGCAGAACCAACATGTTTCTGAATCTTTCTGGTAGTCATGGAGGAAAGTGGGTTGGATCAAGGAACTAAACCATTTCTCCTTTAAAGGTCATCAACTTCAAAGCTTTACATTTTTTCAGTTTTATTTGAAACAAACAAACAAACAAACAAATAGCATTCACCATCTCAAATGGTTCTGCTTTGCTTTTTTTTTTGCAGCGATCGGATTTGGTGTTGCTGTTTTCGCTTTTTGGTGTTTAATAATAATAATAATTGAACATAACTGATCTCACAATGGAGAAATTCCCTTCGGCATCTCAACCTATCCCCTTAGGGAGCAGTGGGCTGCCACTGCGGGGCCCCCGGGGAGCAGTCCGGGGTTAAGGGTCTTGCTCAGGTACCCAGAGTACAGGCTGTGGGGATCAAATGTGTGAGTCTGGCTGCCATGTTCTGGCTGTGCCAATCTTGCTTTTATTTTGCTAAAACCTTAGAAGCAGTTATTCAACTGAAATGATTCTTGTTTATTGCAATGAGTTTTGAGGTTAGAAGCAAAATAGAAAAAAGAGAACAATTTTGGTTAATGTTGAGGGATAATTGTGGTTTTTGATTAAAGTTCCAGATAACACCAGATAACACTGGGTTTCTGCTTATTTTCAAAATTTTTTTTAACTTTTATTCACTTTGGCTTAAAAATCAAAAGAACAGCAGACCACTAAGAGGAACTATCTTCTTAACAGAGAATGTACAGCTTTTTTATTGTCATACAGACAAATGTGGTGCCGTGAAAGAATGACTCAGATAACAGTTAATTTCCCGCAAGGTTATTTCACAGACAGCCAAAATCATCTTAAGTTGTTGAGAAATTGCATAACAGTTCTGCTCCTTAGAACCTCTGCCATGACAAATAAAAGTTTCCATCCACTTTGAAAAACTTCATTTGTAATTCTAAAGATTTGCAGCTGTGAGGCTGCAGTGATCCACTGTGAGGGAGCCCAGGCTTGGCTTTGAGGCGCTCTAACAGAGCAGTGTGGGAGTTGCGCTCTGAGCGAGGTGCTGTGGTCAGAACAGAGAAAACAGGATGCACCGCGCATATCATCTGTCAGCAGCAACATTTTAAAACACAGGTTCTGTGCAAAAGGCTGCAGTTTCGTTTTGACTTTCATTTGGCTTTGAATTCCATGTTTGCACTGAAGAAAATAACTAAATAAAGATTTTAGTGTATCTCCCTTTTTTGCCTGTAATGCATTGGAAAAGTATTCTCACTAGGGCTGCAACTAACAATCAATCAATGTGTGGATTTTTTTTTTTTCGATTAATTGATTAATAATCGGATAGGAAAATGTTGCTGGTAAACACAGTCATCCAGGTCATAGTCATTCCAAAAAAAAAAACAAAAAAAAAACAATCCACTGGACTTGTTTCCAAGACATTTCACTGCTCATCCAGGAAGCTTTTTCAAATTAGTATGTCAGAATTAGCGTTGAGTTTGAAGCTTTATATACTAGCCCAAAAAGATTGTTTTGGCTTAGAAAACATGCAAATTGAACCAGAAGAACTGTTCAGCCCCTTAGGAATAATAGCGGGAAGGAAGGAATCAATGATAGAGTTGATTCCTTCCCACTATCATTTCAGGTGGCTCGCCAACAATTGCCCCTAACAACCCCCTTTCAAAGGCATATACCAGTATCGATTATTGCACCAAAAACGACTCCCCATTCCTAAGGGGCGGACCCGTTCTTCTGGTTCAATTTGCATGTTTTCTAAGCCAAAACAAGGCTTTAGGATACCATATTAAGCTTCGAACTTAACGCACATTCAGACATTTTAAATAGAAAAAGCTTCCTGGATGGAATGGGAAGCGAGATGTCTTTAGATTGGGAAAAAAAGTCCAGTGGATTGTTTTTCAACTTTTTTGGAATTGCAAAATGTTCCGTAAAGAAGTCATTTGGGGAAATTAAACCAGGTGAAACTTAAACTTATTCACTTGAGGAGTTCTGGATAGGGCATATTGACAGATGGAAAAACTTGTTTAGTTCTTTTTTTTATAACTTTGGTATAATTACTGCAATTATAAGTGGGTTTTTTTTCTGTCAGCTAAAAGCCCATTTTAGAGCCTCTTCACTCCAGTTAATGATTGATCGATTACTAAATTAGTTGACGGTTATTTCAATTATCAATTAATCACGATTTATCTGATTAATTGTTTCCGTCCTAATTCTCTTCTACTGAAACTTTTCTCAATTTGTCAAATTTTTTACAGTAAACTTCATTGTGTTTCACTGGGATGCTGGTCAACCTACTGGGGATACGATTTTGGAATAGTTGATAAACAATATCTACAGCAGTAGGATAAGGGACTACAAAAAGTGATGAGAATAAGATAATCTGGTTTAAGCTGCTAACACCTGTTCTTCTCCCCTTTTCTTTCTGATCCAAAGATCCTGAGTATACTGCAGTGGGTCGAAACCACACTGTTAAACTGGGAAACCTAACCCTAACTTCTACTGATACCCTGAAGTGGTGGTTTAATGGAAAAGTATTGTTTCATAGAAAATCCAAAGTAATAATTATTGGGGGAAAAGATGATATAAATGCAGAAGGATCCCTCAAACTGACTAATCTAAAGAAGGACCAGGAAGGAGATTACACTGCTGAGGTTTATGATGGTAATGGAATAAAACGGAATACAAAGAAAACAAAATTAATTGTGCTGGGTAAGTATGAAATGTCTTTCAGTTTTACATGTTTTACTCTAGAACTTAATAAACATTCATGTTTATATTTGCAAGCTGTTTGATATTTCTCTCTATACCCTTATTGAAAATATCCAAATTATTAGAGACACATTTCAGGTCAGGTTATAAAGCTGTAAGGTCATTACTTTAATGGATCAGAAAGTCCTAAACACGCATCAGCAGCAGCATTTTCACATTTCCTCATAACTTTGTCTCTAATCAACCTTCCCAGATCCTGTGAACAAGCCTACAATAAAAATATTATGCAATGATAAAACAGCGAAATTTGAATGTGTTTCTACAAAGGTAAGAGCCTATTTTTTACATCTCTCTAACTAATCAACACTGGACATTTTCTGTAAAAGCTTCCTGAAAATCCAATCCAACTAAATGCTTATCAAAACTGTAATATGTGATTTTAAAGACATTAAACCCTCTTCTGCTTCACTGTGAATAAACTGTAAAATAAACTTTCTAGGATATGGCCCTGTCAAAGTAAAAGCCACAGAAAATCCATGAGATATGATACATTTCTGTCTTATGATATCTTACATTTCTTGTATTCCCTGTGTGACATTTTAACATTAAGTTGTTTTTTCTTTTCTTCCTTTTTTTAACTACTTGCCCTCACTGTAAGTTTTAAAGTGAGTGTTTGACTCTTATTTTCCTGTAGCCACCTCGTGATATAAAGTATGAATGGCTTAAGAACAATGTTAAGCTGGGGAAGGAAGTACAAGGCAAACTTGAAGTAAAACTTAAAGAAGCTAAAGACAACACATTTTCTTGCAAAGTTTTCAACGAAGCCACTAATGCCATAAGTGAGCCTGTCTCTAGAAGTTGTCTTGAGAAAGGTCAGTATTTTTTCATCACCTTGACGAAAATATGGTGGCTAGGGGGTGCAAATGTAAATACACAATTTCACAGCAAATTCAAAAGATCTTGCAAAATTAAAAAAAAAAAAAATAGTAGAAAACTAAAACACAGGCAAAGGAATACTGCAAAACTGCTGAAGGGCAAAATAACTGCAAGTTTAGAAAAGCTGCAATCACAGAAAATAGAGAGCAGCAAAGTGGGAACATATGCTGCAAACACAATAAAGCTGCAAGTACATAAACTAGGCTACCTTACAACAAACACCTGCAAAGGAAAAATGCTGAAAGGTAAATAAAGCTGCAGGTTTTAAAAAAAAGGGACAGACAAGCGCTACATAAGGAAGGTGATCCAGACTGGGAGCAGACTCCTAGTAGAACCATAAACTGGATTCTAAGAGAGATTTATAGTTGACAAAAGACTCATAGGAAAACTTAACTGTTTTTTCCTTTCAGACTGATTTATTTGATTCCCACTGCAAACAAGCATTGGGATCTTGAGATCCAATATAGAAAACAAATTTTTGGATTGCTGAATGATGTTTTCACCCCTCGACCACCATAGTAAAAGAAGCTGTTGCATAATGCACTCTAGCTAATAACTGTTATCTTAAAAAGGATAGAACATTTTAGTACAAATCCTTTGGAACAAAAGTGCTAAATTGTGTATACGTATATGTAAATACAATTTAAACACAGTTAAACCTGTTTCTTTTTTTGTGTCTATGATTTTGTAGGTCCATTAGGTTTGCTGGATGAAGATCTAGAAATCTGGGTTTTGATAGGTGGCGGAAGTGGTAAGTTTTTATATGCCTTTGCAGTACAATGTTAATCAAAAATGAAATACCTTTGAAATGCGTTATATTGGGGGAAAGCTGCACCTGATGGAGATATCTAAATTTTTTTATATTTTACAAGTGGAGAAATAATCTTTTAAAAATCCAGTTGTTGATTTGAATGCATTTATTTAGCTTAGAATTGGCAATAAATCTCTAACTGTATAATAATCCTGTTAAAACTGGTAAAATAGTTGTATTGATGCCAAAAAGATAAACCAACAGATTTTGCTTTCACAAGTGGAGTAGTACGGCTATCGTCATAGTGTTCTGCTTGATTTATGCATAGAAATAGGTTTGTTCCCTTTTTTTAAAAATGATCTATGTGCAGATTTGTTAAGTGTTTGTGTATATAAATACACAAAGCTGATCTCCCCTCAGGCCTCATGTGTAAAACTTTTCCTAGGCAAAAAAAATATATGACACAATGTTTTACACACATATCAGGTTATATAAAGGTGATAATTCTGCAAAAGTGTTCGAAAAATCCATGCAGACTTCCAGATATTTTAATGAATGAGAAAAAAAACAGTTCCTACTATATGTTGAGAAGCTCCATGTCGAATAAGTAATGTCAATGGCCCTGTTTTTTTTCTCTTTACAGTTATTTTAATTATTTATTTTACTATAGGTTTTGTTTTCTGTGTTGCCTTTTTTTATTATATTAATTTATTTAATTGATTTCCATTATCTGTCAAGCTACAGTATCCCCGCTTTTCATTGTTAGAAAATCTGCTGATTTTTCTTATTGTCATTAACGCTAATACTTTTGGTAATCTAATATGGTCTATCTTTATTTAAAAAAATGTATACGGATTTTATGGTGTGCATGCATTTTAGTTCTTAGACGTTCTTGAGCTGTGTGTGCAGCTGTAAATGTTATAAAATACAATAAAAATATTCAGAATAAAAAAAATAACAAATTAGAGTACCAAAAGAATTCCCCAAAACTAAAGTGTGACTATTTAGATTATTTCAACTCAAGGAACAACCCTTTTTTCCTTGAGTTTTAGGTTTTATTTTAGTTCAAACCCAATTGATGAAAATGAATCACATTTAAAAGCTAACAAGTAAGGAATGAGATAAGATCAGTTGGATGTAAACTATAAATACACCCTAGATTTTAGTTAGGTGAACAGAAGTTGATTTGTGGATCAAAGAGCATAAAATCCACGTGTTTTCTCTGCCCACTTTTATTCTAACTGATCTAAAAAGTTGAAAAATCAGCAGATTAATTCCAAGCAAGTCAGGAGTTATGATTTATCAGGGGGACGAGCGTTGGAAAGTTATACATGTGTATATATCGCTGCGTGATGCCATGCATATTTGTAGAAAAATAACAACATTGGCAGATTGATAATATATAGCACTCAGGTTTAGTTTTACACATTATTAATCTGTGACTGCTTCCTTAGAATCGGTTCAGGAAAGAAAATAAGAAGAGTTCAGTAGAACTTCTGAGCTAATTGGGCGAAGCAAAACCAAAATACCACATGAAATAGCAGCAAACACCAAGAGCAACCGCAACAATTTACGCTTTTATACTCTTCCTGTTCTTCTTTCAAAGATGAAATTTTGGATTCAGCAGCTAAGCGTACAGCTACACATAAAGTTTCGTGTGCTGCCATTTTAAGTTTTTGGTTAAACTGTGGGTTTGCATATGTACCGCCTTAAACCGCCTTCCTGTTTTTATTCTATCTGTAATGGTTAAAACAGGATTAACCTCTAGGTTTATCATTAGAATAATAAGATTAATGATAACCTGTTAATCAGCTCTACGCCTGATTGCCACATCTTACACAATATAAAGATATATAACAGTCTCGGTAATTGTGCTGATATTGGTATCAAAAGTCCAAATTTAGAAGCCAACGTCCAAATGTAATCAGAGCTATGACTGCTTTTATAGTGGGGCTTATCTCTAAATGTCAACTTTGCATTGAATTAAAAGCTATTTTATCAATTTAAAGAATTTTTGAGTGAATTTCAAGCATATTTATACCAATTTTGTGTATCAGAATTGTGATTTGCAAACGTGTGGTACAGTAGTGGTTCGACTAATCTTCCCTTCAAAGGCTATTTTGAATAATAATTATGTCCAATTTTAAAATAGTTTTATAAGATGAAGACTCTAAGCAGGCTTAATGGATGTTTTTTTTTTAGGAATTAAGTTTTCCATGACGGTCTGAATCACTTAAAAGAGTCATTGTTCTTCATATAGTATGTGTAGTCACGTGTTCCTAACAGGAATAATGTGGGTGGGGAATATTTACAATTTGGGATACATTAAAATGATCAGCATTAATCGGCAATTGAGTACAATGCAGCAGTTAGACAGTGCCAATTTGATTTGATACAAACACTGTAGAATGAAACGGATAAGAGACGACAAACTTTTATTTTTTTGCTCTGGACTAGTGGTGGATGTCTTTTAGCTTTTTACACTGATTTACACAAGTACTTTGGTGCAGTAATGGAAAAGTCACAAACATGTCTGCATTCAATTCCACACTTATTAGGATGTATAAAGGTAGAGTAAGCAGTTATAGAGTTTACCAAGTTTTGATGCAAAAGCCACCAACTTTTATTTTGAAAGACTTTTAAATGAGCAGAACAGCTGGTGCAGAAATTTTGTGAGTTTGCCTTTATAAATCTGCACAGGATACGGCATCCCTTGTTCTTTTAAGTTTTACTTTAATAATTTTCAGCATTTTAAAGGCTTTTACTCAGCTTATTTAGCTTTTAGAGAAACCTAATATAATCAGCTTTACAGATAATATGAACTATTAATAATATTGCTATTACCATAGCAGTGTTGGCCCCAGGGCAGCTGTGTCAACACTGTAGCTTGACACCATCAGTAGGAAAATCTTTGAATGACTGAATATAATGTGAAGCGCTTTGGGATCCAACTTGATAAAGTGCTATATATGTACATGCAATTTACTATTAGTTCAAATATCACTGGTTTCAAACTTTATGTTCATTCTGCAGCTATTTCTCTTGCCAGAACCAATAGAGACAAATGCAAAATCCTGATTTCAATTGAACAATTAACCACTTTTGCACTTGTTATCAATTGTGCATTTTTTTAACAGATCACTTGCAACACTGTAACTGGTTTCCAGAAGCAATTAATAGCTCCTCATTAGAAAATATTATTAGACATGGGCCTTTTTCTTATGAAATAATTATAAGTGTTTGGTGTATCAAGTACATGAAGATTACACTCCCTCTAAAATATCCAAAGTCTCAGGTTCTCTGAAAAGTTTCCATTGCTTTAGCTGAATTCATTTTCTAGAAATTTGGACTTAAATAGGAAAAGAAGGGCTCTTTTGCTGGACCATTTGTGTGCTAATGTGGCTATAAAAGATGTAATTGTAATTCAGGTACTTGCAATGCAATCTGAGAAAGTCCTTAAGGTTTTGGTAGAGTCCTTTATTTATCATCCTTGTGGGAGAGAAATAAAAAATGTTTACTCTATTTAACAGCTATAGTGGGGCAGCAACTAAATACATTTATTTAGTTACATTCAAATATTTTGGGAGGTGTTTCAATTCCCAACATTCCTTACTTTAATTTGAGGAATATTATAAATGTTACGTCTGATAACTGAACTTTTAAATATTTATTCAAACGTCAGCGTCAGAAACTCAGTAGTCTTTAATACTCTTGCTTGAGTTTTTTCTTGATAGATATTTTTACTTCTACTTGACTAAAAATGTGTTGTGAGAACAATTATTCGGGTTATCTACCCAACCCTGTTAACAAGCTTATCAGAGCAAAGTCGACACTTCGAGCTACAGTTCTGGTGGATTTTAGCACCATGGTTTTAAAACAAAAAAAAAAAAACATTTTCACATACATGCTTAAAAAAAACATAAAGATAGTAGCTAATGATTATAATGGAAACCATTTTAATGTAATAACTGTAAGTGGGTGCTCTCTAAATATAGATTCCCAACAAGCCTGGAGACTTTTCAGTATAAGAAACTGATAAATAAGAACGTGTTACATGTATTTTAAAGCAATTGTTTTCCAAAATTTTCTCAGTTTTTCTCAACTGAAACCTAACGAAATAATTGAATTTCTTTATTCTGCACAACTGACATCATTCCCTATCATATTCCCCAGGTATTGTTTTCTTGCTGATCCTTATTGTCATTATTTGCTTCATCCAAACCAAACGAAGAAGGAGGCTGCGTCTGAAGGGTAATATTTTTACTTTAACATAAAGGCTAGAAATCAGTGTAACTCATATATTTTCTATCTGACCATTTATCTGATTGAACTGTCTGGAGAGCCCCAAGGCTCACTGTTAAGACTATTTTTGTTTATGATCATGTTTTTTAATGTTTCAAAACATGAACATGTTTCTTTTCTTTACCACATATCCAGCTTTAGTTAACCTAGTCTTGCTTCAACCATTTTTACTAGTGTTTATTGATACAGATAATGAAGGAGACTAAAGAACTAGATTATTCGAGAAAAGTCAAGAGTCAATCAAGTTCCTAAATTTGACATTAAAAGAGGAAATGACGCTTAAGCATGAATTCAATCTGGAAGACTCTTATCAGCTTCACTTGAACCACCTACGATGTCCCTCTTTCGGCTCCAACCAATAAAGTGGGGGGGCCACTCCTTCTTCGAAGTCAATCAATTTTCAATATCCCCTTCACTTAGCTCCTGGCCTAGCTTCTCTTTCCCGCACACAAGCAAACTTTCAGCCACCTCCACCCCATCTCCTCCCTTATTCTCAGTCCCATTAATCCTCTGACTTATTCCACCACCAGGCCCCCGGGGGAAGAATACTCTAATCATTTTCTGGGATCCTCATCCAAGCGTACGTTAATTCACAGCATCAAACTCTTTTGCCGGGGCCAGACCGCCAAAGAACATTTTTTTATTTATGTTATGCTTCTGTCTCCTTGAATCCCAGTCATCATCGGCAGATGGCCGCTCACACTGAGCCTTGTTCTGCTGGTGGTTGCTTCCTGTTAAAAAGGAGTTTTCCTCTCCACTTTCGCTACATGCATGCTCAATAAAGGGAGTGTAGAGAGTCAATGAGTCTTTGTAATCAGCTGGTTTTCCTTAGATAGGAATATGTTAATAATATGATTTTGTTACTTGTATGAATAAATTTGATATTTTATAATTGTAGCTTTTCTCTGTGTGAGTCTCTCCAGGTTGAAATATCCAATCCATAATGTGATTCAATGGTTTCTTTGACAAAATCAATGCGATTCTTATCCTTTGAGAACTCAAACATATTTTCTGAACAGATGAAGATGAGCTCCGTTTGGCCTGGACCTCCAATGAGCAGCATAAACGCCTACATGATTGTCCCCCTCTTCCTGATCATCCTCCTCCTCCCCATCCCAATCGTCACAATCATTCCCAGCAACAGCAGCAGGCACCCGGTCACACTGGCCCACGACAAGGCCGCTCCAATAAGAACCGCCAACCGCGACCCAGAGTCCCTGAACCTAATGGCCAACCTCAGCCCAGTCCACGGCGAACTGTACAGGTAGGAGGCTCAAGGGTTAATTCATCTTGACTTGACGTGATTATTAAGATACATTTCATTTTTACTGGATTTCATCTCTAAGAGATGTTTCAGCTGTTGATGTAAGGATCTTAATTCTTTGCCAGCTGACCTTCTGGTTTCCATCTCCCTCAGGCCAAAAAACCTGACGTCACTGATGAAGAGCAGCCTCCTCCTCTTCCTCAGCCCAGAAAGAAAGCCCCCAAGGGACAAGTAGAATAGAAAGCATGTGCGTTTAAACAACACAAACAGACATTTTATCTGTTGGACGCAGACCTGGACCGCTACCACCTCATCTTATATTTGTTCAAACTAAAAAAGGATGTTCACACAGATGTATGAACACGAATCAAACTTCAGTTTATTTGAAAAGTCTGAACTCAAACTAGAACTTTTTAAAGCCTTTCTGACTCAAAATGTAGTTTGCTACATGTAGGATAATGCATTAGGTTATTGTGAGTTGAAGGGTATGCTAAGGTTTAATTGCATGGTTTTAAACTCCAGAGATTTTCTAATTATTGGCGATTAGAGACTATTCTTATTAAGATTATCATTAGCCTCGTGGTTTATATTTCTGACTATATTTCAAATGACCGTTCCCATTGTCTTCATCAGAAGTTTTATCAGTACCTGTACTATACTTGAGTCTTTTTCTGTGGACCATTGACTGTTACTCTCTACATTTGAGCACATATAGACATACTTTCTACTCTTTTCTTCCTCTTAACTGGCCTTTACTTCTATATATATTAAAATCAACTTGACTTAACTGCTAGAACAAAGCAGAGAGAAAATAAAGTGTGGAGTTTGTTTGTAGAAAACACTGATAGCACCATAGATAATGAAAGTTGTGCTGGCAAACATTGCAGATTGATTACGGTAAATATTCAAGTTATCACCAATCTATTCACAGTTTATTAGGCTTTAGATCTACATGTTTATTGTGTTTCATTTTCTATTCTAATTTTAATGTTATTTGCTATTTTAAGGCTGTGTATACCAGATTTCTAAAAGTTAGTCAGCTGCTCATATGACTTTTTTCAGTTCTATCTATATTATCTTCCCATAGAGAGAGCGAAATAGAAAAATGACCAGATTTTCTATGCCTAGAGCAGTTTTTTTTTTAATCTAGTATTTTAAAAGTACTGTAATATCTTTCAAGAAAAAATATATATATATGCAGTATATGTTTTACTTTTATACTTTAAAAGGCCACAATGTAAATCCTGTACTTTTTTACTTTCACGTAAGTAAAGGATTTAAACTTACTTACATTTTTACCAGTATATTTTTTTACACAGGTATCTGCTTTTACTTTAAGAAAAGAAAATTGATACTTTTCACACCTTTGGGCTTAATAGAAGCTTTTTGATGTCTCTGAAAATAGACTTACATATGTTTTTGGTCCTATTTGATGCAGAACACAGCACAGGTGCAGCTTCATACTTTGATAAAACAAATCTTGTTTTTTTTTTTTTTTTTTTTTTTTACATATAGTAGAAAGGTGTAATTTTAGCATGGCAGCTGGTTTGCTTTTTTATCTTTGGTAACCATAAAGATTAAATGAAGGGAAAAATAGATTAGTTTTGGTTAATCTTTCAATTACTATGTTTTGACAAAAAAAATATTGTTTTTAAAGTATTTTTTTATCTTCATATCTAGTTCACATCACTATTATGGGTTGGTCAATTAAATCGGTTAAATTAAAGCAGCTGATATGCTTTCTTTAATAAAATGTGAACTTTTTCTATAAAGAACTAGCAACTGCTGGAGTCAGGCCCCTTTCAGTTTCCTAAGGGTGTATAAATGTGTTCAAGTAATTATTTCCCATGTTAACCTTTACAAATCAATAACATAATTATGATTAGTTTGGATTTGCTTCAGAAAAAAAAGAACGTGTGCAAATTTACTTTTGCGATTAAAAATATGTTTGTTAATCTCTTAAAAATAAGTCTTAAAGCATTCAGGTATAGTTGAAAGATAAGTCCTTTTTTGTACTCATCCATTTAGCCAGTCGAATTTAGCATTCAGACGAGTCTTTTCCTGCTTCTGGTGGAAAAAAGATTATTTCATTTGTGAGGGTGTATTTAGTTTTTTTTTTTTATGTTTTTTTTTTTTTTTATTTTACATTTATTTTACATTTGGCTAACTGTATGTATAAAAAAAACAAAAAACTTTGTCTTAGCTAGGTTGTTCCAAATTCTTTCAATATTTCGGTGATGCATGTTTCTGTATGCAGAAAAACAGTCTTATTCAGTCCATTATTTATCTATACTGTCATTCTTCTTTGTACCATGTTACTCTATGCTGTAAATTAGTTTCTGAACATATTTGTTAAATAAAAAAAGACCAGAAAAGTGTGATTTGACCTTTGACTTCGATATACACACAGGTTAGTTTTCACAATGAGTGTGCAACGAAATGATAGAAGACAAAATGTCTGCATTTCTTCACCATTTCCTGTTCATTTTTGCTGAAAATGTGCTTGTGGTTTGCTGCTCTGTTTTTGTGTCAGTGAGCTGACTGCAAGATTGCTGCCATTCTTTGTGACAATGAAGAGATGTTTTCCTGCACTTCTGCTTCAGTATCCACAGACATAAACCTTTTCATTCTGATCAAGTAAATTAGTTAGTTACAGTTTGTACAATCAGCCTAAATGCACTAATGCTTCTGCAGACTGTATCTCTACACCCACACGCTTGATACTAGTGGTACTGTTTCATTGTTTTTTTACACCTTTCATTTATAAAAGAAAAATTAACAGCCTTTTTTCAAACATGCACAGCTTGCGTGATACCATACCAGTAAGCAGTTTTATTTTTAGGGTGTCACAAAAGTGCAGAACTTATGAGCCAGCTCAGTTATCTTTTTTAGCTTGAAGTGGAAACAGAAATGCAAATATTAGCTAAAATAAAATAATTGAATACGCTCATAATACAATTGGTGATCATTTAAAAAAATCTTTGTCCCTAAAAATGGTTTTTAAATCTTCATTATTTCAAAAAGCGAACCTTGCGTTCTGCTTTTTCTGCGACCATTTGGATGTGTGATACTCTATAGCGTGCCGAGAATAAATACGATGTAGAGTATAAGTTCAATATGGTTGAGTGAGTTGCAATTAACTGGACAAACTGACCAGAAATACCAAATTGGGGCTTCATTTTTCAGTTTCCCAAAAAAAAGAAAACTTTAAAGGATATATAGTCATGACTTTTTATTTTTAAGAGAAAGGCGCATGCAGCTTTTTTAGAGGGAAGAGAAGAGAACATTTAAAAAAAACAGAAAGGTATAACTGTAGCTGAACGTATTGTAGATATATTTTTTCTGCACATCTTCTTTTCAACTGCAGCAGTGTGATATAAGGAAAGAAACAGCTCATGGTTTATAGAGGAAAAATAAAAAAAAAATAGGGCTTTAACTAGCATTACTACAAAATAAGGGCTCAATGCCTGCCAGTTTTGTTGATCCGACTTGAAAAGCAACACATACATTTTTTATTCTGACTGGTATAGTGGAGGATGTTTGCCAGTTCTTGAAAAGACCCACCCTCTCCACTTAAAAAAACAAAAAAACAAAATGCGCATGCGCATCTCTTTACCCACTCCTGAGACCTTTTACACCTATTAAACGCGTCTGAGAGCATGCACGAGCCCATTTCTCCTCGTGCATGCTCTCTTTAAAAGTTGCTGTTTGCATCACTCAAACAAGCTTACTTTCCAAAGGATTAGCAATTTTTTTATTATGTCAGACTCACCACCCGTAAGTGAGGGGAGCATGTGGGATGGCCTTACGTAAACATATCACCAGAATGAATCACAATTAGGGGGAACATCCTCCAAAATACCTTTAACTTATTAGCCTGACTGTAACAACCGAATGCATCTGTCTGAACAACATGAAGGGTCTTACCGATGCAAATGTATATTTCTGATAAATATGACCACACGTTATACATCTTTCCCTTCCTTTGCATGTCGCCCCAGTGAAGCAAAAAAGTTAACATTATGAATTGCCGTTTATTTTTCTGTTTAGACCATTTGGTGTGAAGTCAGTGTGAAATATTTGTCGGGTAATGAAAACCCACAAACTCCCAGATCAGTTTTCTTTTTATCCATTTCCTCTGTAAAGCTCAGTTGAAACCCAATGTGTTGAGGACTGAAACTGGTCTGGGTATGCTTGCCTTGCAAATGCAACTATTTATCCCTTCTCCTATCCTCAGAAGAATAACATTAGAGGGTTGTATTTAAAAAATCTATATATACATTTTTTTTTTAATGATTTGTCTATGAATATGCATCTTATATATGTAGTTCCATATAATACGCAATAGGAGTGGGAGTGTTGGCCTAGTGGCTGGAGCAGTGCGCTTGGCCTCTGAGAAAGTTGTAAGTACCCATTTTTATCCCCACAGCCTTTACTATGTGTCCCTGAGCAAGACACTTAACGCCACACTGCTTACCAGGCGCCGCACAGTGACAGCCCACTGCTCCCCAAGGGGATTGGTTAAATGCTGAGGTAAATTTCTCCAATGTGAGATCAATAAATCATCAACAAGGTTTTTATCATGATTTAAAGATGTATCTGTTATTAACAGTTCTTTTGCCAACATGCAATGAAAGTAACACTTTAATTATATTCAAAAGCAAGAATTTACATATATATATATATATATATATATATATATATATATATATATATATATATATATATATATATATATATATATATATATATATATATATATATATATATATATATATATATATATATATATATATATACACACATTTATATTTAGTGCTTAGGGTAGTAAATAGTTAGTAGTTTGTCTAAAAAAAGCAACAAAAAAAAGGTTTTATTTGACTGCATTCCAACCAGTGTTCAGCACAATGGGCATCCCATTAACTGGAACCTGCTTGAGTACAAGTGTCACCATCAACCATTGAAGCATTTATAAAAACCTCTCTGGAATGAAACAGTGCCGAGCAAAAAAGAAGTCCCTGCTCTAAAATCACAACTTCAACCCAACCTTTAACTATGTGAGCAAGAGGTTCGCAGAGTTAGCTTTTAAAAACAGAATTATAGTATATATCAGCTGTCAAGCATGGTGGTGGTAGTATCATGCTTTGGGAGTGCAAACCATTAGACATTTTACACACAGCAAGAAAAACAACATTCTGTGAGAAATGGTAGAGAAGTTGACTGGAATAGACGGAGCTAAATGTAAAACATCCTGCAGGAAAGCCAAACTTACATTCAGGTTGTTTAAAGCACAGACCATCCATTTGCTATAACTGCTACATATACAGTGAAAGATAATTCTACAAAATTGTGGTGGAGCACATGGTGGAGCTGTTGTTTCATTTATGCACCAAAACTAACCTTTATGTGGCTGCACACAGAAACTGATTTAAAAAATGAATAAACTCTTGTGCGAAAAGCCAGGATCTTATGCCTGTGTCTATACTTCAATTTTTCAGTGCATTAAAGTCCATTGTGATCAAAGCATTGTTTCACTTTCTTCATGCATTCTACAGATACAGCTGTTAAGAAGAATGGTGCTGCTAAAAGAGCCCCTGAGCTGCAGTCCACACTCATTACTGACGATGTGTTTTAGGATAAATCTAATAAAGAGAGCGGTGACCCCGTTTTGTTGCACAGCATGTTTGCAGCCAGAGGATGGCGATGCAACTCCAAGTCTGCTTTGACTGACGTTGCACAAATCATGTCAAAGCAGTCAGGTGTTATCTTACCAATGATACATTAACCTTTGCCAGACATACCTACTAGATCGAGTTGATTGTTTTGCATATCCTATGTAAAGTATGCACAGATTAAAGGAAAAATAAATAGATAAATTGTTTGGAATGCATGAACTCCTAGATGACTGAGCCAAACGTAACCAGATACAGCTCTAATGTCTTTGTTTTCATTTGCTGTGTGAAAAGCAGATACAAAGCTGTGAAACCAGATCCAAACACTCAAAACACACATCATATATAAGAAAAACGACCTTTGACCCAAAGATCACAATCCTGAACTTCTCCTCCTTCGTCGCCTGCGGAGCGACTGACTGAGGTATGAACTATGTCCCGGGCAGAAGCTCTATGTAAATTCCCAGCATGGGCCTAACCCAAGCTCTGGGACGGACAAGAGGGCGTCAACATTGTAAAAACATTGTGACGTCAAAAGAAAGTGAAACTAGTTAAACATGAAAGGCTGATTCTAGAGAGATAAAAAGCTCAAAAATATTAAAAAAACAACTACCCAACACTCTGCACAGCCTTCCTATTATTCACTGAAAGTCTTGCTCTTTCTATTCAGATGTACAGTACATCTTTATATTTGTTCTCACTGCAATCTGACAGCTGTGAGGTGTGCCAAGAAATGGTCTGATTTTATTTCCCAGGCAATTTCTCTTTGCATCTCTGGTAATGGTGATTTTAAAGGACCTAGAATTTTTCATAAGGAACAGCTCCATGATTCCCTAATTCTGTAAAAAAAGATCTACAAACTCACAATGAGTCCTCGACCATTTGGACCCGCTATCCAAACCTCTGCCTTACACTCTATGTTTATACCGGAACTAGTCTTGGAGGCAGACACCTTGTCAACACCAAAGACTAGGCTTAAAACATTTCTTTTTGATAAAGCTTATAGTTAAAGTAGCTGATATTATCCTGGACTATCTCTATAGTTATGATGCTAGAGGATTAGGCTGCTGGAAGACACAGGGACCACTTTTCATCATTTCGTTTCATTCTACATCTTTTCTCCCATTTTGCAGTATTTGTTAGTTTAACTTCTAACTTATGCTCTCTCTGCTTTTTCTCTTGATGCTCTAGTACTGTTTGGCTGTGAAACCATCCTGCAGAGAAATAGCAGCCAGGTCACTACTATCATCCCCTTCAGTTATAAATGATAGAGTGGGGCCTCTATTCATAGTGTTCCTCTCAAAGGGGTGGTTTCCTCTCCCTTGTCCTGGCATGCATACTTGCTTGGTGTGAGGGATTGCTGTTGAGTCAATGACAAACCTTTGAACCTATCCGACTGTATGATCTGAATGAACTGTATTGTTTTAAAGTGCCTTGAAATGACATGTTGTGAATTGGCACTATATAAATAAACTGAATGGAATTGAATTGTTGCCGCTGTTCCAGTCAGCACTAAAAGGTAGAAGAAGAAAAAACCCACATTGCTCAACAGGTAGAGGGAGAAATTATTGGAGCTGGCTAAATGGGTATGAGTTCATATTGCATGCAGTGATGCTATATAGGCTACACGATTGACTAAACTTAACACAACACATAAGAATTTTATGTTTATTTGTATTTTCCTTCAGTCAATTCTACAAATTTTATCTTATTCATAGAAAATGTTCATAATGTGTGCTGCATCCAGTCAAGATGAACTTGTTCTGCTACTGACTCTTGTTTAGTGTGGCTTCTTGAATTCAAAATAAAACATGTCAATTTAACAATTGCTCCACTTGGGGCAGGTGTCCTGCCCCAAGTGGAGGAGTTTAAGTATCTTGGGATCTTGTTCACGAATGAGGGAAGAAGGGAGCGGGAGATCGACAGGCGGATTGGTGCAGCGTCTGCCGTGAAGCGGGCGCTGTACCGGTCCGTCGTGGTGAAGAGAGAGCTGAGTCAAAAAGCGAAGCTCTCGATTTACCGGTCGATCTACGTTCCTACCCTCATCTATGGTCATGAACTCTGGGTCATGACCGAAAGAACGAGATCGCGGATACAAGCGGCCGAAATGGGTTTCCTCCGTAGGGTGGCTGGGCTCTCCCTTAGAGATAGGGTGAGAAGCTCGGTCATCCGGGAGGGACTCGGAGTAGAGCCGCTGCTCCTCCACGTCGAGAGGAGCCAGTTGAAATGGCTTGGGCATCTGTTTAGGATGCCTCCTGGACGCCTCCCTGGTGAGGTGTTCCGGGCACGTCCCACCGGGGGGAGGCCCCGGGGAAGACCCAGGACACGCTGGAGAGACTATGTTTCTCGGCTGGCCTGGGAACGCCTTGGGGTTCCTCCTGAAGAGCTGGAAGAAGTGGCTGGGGAGAGGGAAGTCTGGGCCTCCCTTCTTAAGCTGCTGCCCCCGCGACCCGACCCCGGATAAGCGGAGGAAGATGGATGGATGGATGGATGGATGGATGGATGAATTTAACAATTTATCGCTTAATTAAGCTCAGTACAGTGTGGGAGAGTTATGGATGGCTGACACCTCCTTCTCACGTTGGTCAGCTTGGCTGTAGTATTACATCCATTACGTTTTCAAAGGCTGCTTTTTGTTGTGTGGTTTTTGCTTCTAAGCCAGACTCACTGGTGTTAAGCTCTCTGCTGCTCTGTTTTAAGGGGTTTTATATTTAAATATTTTGTGAAATGTGGTGAAGACTGCTATTTTTGATCAATCTGCACAACTTGAACATGCCTTAACCCACCATGAAAGAACTGTTTTGATTAATGTTAAAGATTACTCCTCGGTTGTCTCACTAATTTGGTCATGTCTTCAATGATTGCAAAATTACTGAGATAAGGGTTAGGGACATAGCGTGCACACCATACATGAGGTACAGTATATGTGTTGACTGACATTATTGATGGCTTGAATGATAGAGTATTGTCCAGAAAAGTATAGATATGGGATTGATTCATAATCCCAAACAAAAAACTATCTAGCAGTGGCAAAAAAATTAATCCTTACAAATTCATCACCATTTTAGAGGACATTAATAAGGTTTTAACAGTATCAGAGCTATTGCCAAAAATAATCGTAACAACAACAAAATAGATAAATTACCAAAAGGCAAATGCTAATATCTTTAACTTTACTTTTATTATTATTTGGGGGGAGTGTTGGCTTGGTGGTTAGAGCAATGCGCTTGTGATTGATCCTCACAGCCTGCACTCTTGCAGGGGCGGAACTAGATGAGGGGCCAGGAGTGGCCATGACCCTTAGCCAATCATTGGCCACCCCTACCATTCTCTTCCCTCTGATACAGATAGTGGCAGCAGTAATACTTTTAAGTGGAATGTTGAAAACATTTACATTATTCATATATTAACAGTTACTTGACAACAAAAACACTGTGGTTTATTATGCACATCAATATACTAATATTAAATATGATAATTTTACATATATATATATATATATATATATAAGAGAAAATGGAAGTCATCTAGGAGTCTTTGGTTATATCATAAATAAATAAATATTTTAATAAAAGCATATTAAATAATCAATTTATGACTTTATTGATCTCACAATGGAGAAATTTGCTTTATCTAGATATTAGTAGATGAAGAATGATTACTGATAAAAGTATGTAAGTAATGACAATGGAAAATATGTTCGCCCCAGAACTTAACCCTGAAAGAATTTAATCCACTATACCTTTTATCTATGTTTAAATATCTGCATCTATTTGTTAGCAAAGGCTTTCAGAAAATATAGTTAGTCTTTATTTAGAAAATATGGATGTTTTGCTTGTTAATTTTCCCGTTGGAACAGATTGACCCTGAGGTTCTGGTGCCTATCTACTTTTGGGCCGCCCCTCAGTGTACAGTGGTTATTGCCTGGGCACCCTATAAAAAATTTCTGCCTACGCCTCTGCACTCTGGGTCCCTGAGCAAGACCCTTAACCTTACACTGCTCCCCAAAGGGAATAGGTTAAATACAAAGGTACATTTCTCTAATGTGAATTCAATAAAGTTCTAGTTATTTATTATTTTAATTTAAATATGAGTAGTTGTTTTTTTTTAGGATCCACCAGTTTTCTTGTGCTTTTCTCAATAATTTCAAAATGTTGAATGTTGAAATGATGAACGTGATTAACCAAAATCATGATTCATGCTCCATCCATCATATGATCTCTGAGTAATAAAATGCTTTGTCATGAAAACTGTCACAACTACCTCCACCTGGGACCTCCCTGCTTCCTCTTTTTCCACCTAACTTCCGGCCACCCTCTCTCTCAGTCTGTCCCTCCTTCATGCGTTAGTCAGCCCGTGGATGTCTGCTTCGCTCCCCATAGTCCTAAAAGCAGCCTAGTCTTGTCAGTGCGTGGAAAACCGTGGGAACGCTCTCTAACACGGACCTTCTTTCTCAGGTTTAGGAACCGCCGGTGTGCGCCCTTTTTTCTTTAGGGCTCTGCGGTTCCGCTCAGGGCGCAGCGGACTGTCCGCCAAGAGTTTTATTGGGCTTTGACCCTCCATCCATGGGAGGATTTGTCTCTCTTGTCCCAGCGCAGGACAAAGGACGCGGGGAAATCAAGGAATAAAAGAGGACAGCAGAGTGAGACAGACATGGATCCCAGATTTCTCTCTCTCGCCTTTGGTCTTTTCCTCATCGGTAAGACACCTCTTGTTGTTTTTTCCTTGATTGCTGATGACTGATTAACTCCCTTGGCTTGCACTGGTCTAAACGGTATGCGGAATCCCTATTGAGGAACCTGCACATTTAAACATTTCTTGATATTTTCACTATTAATTTATTAGAAATTGGGTGATTTAAAAATAATTAAGATAAATATACTTTACTAGACAATTCGGCATTCACTAAATGTATAATAAAGCCATTATGTGACTACATTTTTAACTTCCCTACTCCTTACCTACTGCTAGCGGCTGGTATCCACTTTAGGTTTCGCAGGTAAAAGTAATCGGCAGCAACTAAAGCACAGTGAAAAAGACGCTTTTTTGGCAGTTTTTTGCCCTTTCTGATTAAGCCGAATTTTAAACGAAATTGAAAACTTGTTGATATCAGCAATAAATTGAAGTTTAACCTAAGCTGTGCTTTGAAATGGTAAAATAACCTAAAAATGCAATATTTCTAAATGGAATTTGGTTAAGTAATCAGGCGCACCGTGAGAAATAATCTAAATTACTTTGATTTAAAGATTTTTCTAAAGAAAAAAAACCAAAAAACTAAAATAGGTCAATTTTTTATTTCTTTTTATCACATTTACAAAACAATCAACATAATATGGGTTAAATCAGAAGGCTTTAATTAACCAAATTTGTCAAAAACTGGTAACCTATTGAAATTAGTTGATGTAAAAGCAGAAAGGTAAATTGCTGTACATGATTAGTGACTTAAAATCATTTAAAGTGGGCTAAACATACATTTCTTTGTGATTCTAGCAAAAAAAAGCTAATTGAAAATGTTTTTTTAGTATTTGTTGAGCTTCTTTTCCTGTTCAGTTGCACACAAATGTTGAAAATATGTTGGAAAGTATAAATCATGACACTTTTATTTGAAATGTACAAGTTGAGTTCAAATAAAGGGTATTTCAATTAGTATTTTAAACTTTTAAAACAATTTCCTGCCACCAGGGTCTGCAAACTGAATATTATGAAAAAGTTAACTACAACCCAAGTAAAGTTGTTTCTTGTTGTTTAATAAAAACCCAATTGCAAAAGGAAAATGAAAATACCTGATATTAAAGAATAACTTTTTTTTCAAACAAATATCAAGAAAAATTAGAAATAAAAAAAAAAATAATTCATTTTAAATTGACTTTAAGCATTTAAATGCTCACTGCTTGCAACAGTTGCTGAATTTCTCATTAAATTATCGACTCAGACAAAACGTAAAACAAAATCATTGCATTTTTTCTTGTAGTAGTTGCATCAAATGATGCCAAATTTAAAAATACAAGTGAAAACATCTTAAACATAAGTGTCGTTTTAGTCCTGGAGGGGGTATTGAGGGCACACTAAGAAAATTTGAGAAGGTAACGTCCATGTTGGACCTTAATTAACTGCAAGTCAGGTGATAAACTCATTATCTACTGAAATTACAGTGTCATCAGCAAAACATAAACGTAGAGCAGATTCAGCACATAGGGGTAAGACGACATGGCCCAATTAACCAATTTTATTAAAACTTGGCCAGTCTCCATTATAAAAAAAAGTATTATATGTGTATGTATGACCAGCACTGTCTTTATCACACTAGTTTGAGTAATGTAATTAAGCCGGTTTTCCCTGCAGAGGATAAACCGGGACTTGTTCCCTGGCCTACCTGAGTGCTGAACTTGCCATATGTTGATGAGCACTACAGTAAGGGCCACATGGGGTTGGCCAATGTGCATGCATGTGTGAGACGTGGGGGGGAAGTTGGCTTAAATTAGTTCAGGGGAAAGATGATCAGATGTCGCTAACACGTAAGCGGTTCGGTTTTCTTTATATATGCATGCGTCAGTCAGATACGGAAATCTGCAGCATGGTGGTTTTAAATCACTATATTTTGGGTTCCTGTTTTTTTGGTTGCGAGCATATCATGGATGCAGTCATATAAAATGAGAAAGCAGAAGCCTGTAGGTCAGTTTTCTGTTTAAATGTTTCTGCCAGACGGTAAAAATCTCCCTCCTGAAATAAGCTGAGTGTATCACCACAGCTTTTTAGTCATTCATGGCCTGGATCCAGGCAGTAAACAAACAGATTTCCATGATCCTATTGCATTTTTTACACATTTTTCAGAATCTGCAAGAAAAACAAATATTAATATTGATTGAATTTGAGTTAAAATGAGCACAGAAATAGTTAGGAATCATATATTTTTTCCTGCTTCAAAAGCTGCAGGGATGTGTAATATGCATGGTTCAAATGCAGGTGTTTGTATTATGGTTGGTTTGGTTTTACAACCATGTTTATGTTTATTTAATGACCCCGGGGTCACACCAGCGGTGCTGTTCGCTGTACGAGTCGCTAAAGTAGAGCAAGCAGCTTTTGTTTGGACAGTTTAAAGACAGAGCTTGATGAACATGAGGTTTAGGAAGAAGCAGACAGCTTTAATGGGTACATAAGATGAGCTTAGATATAGATGCACATTTACTTTGACCCATGATTTCAAATAAAAAAATCAATCGTTGACCTCATCATTGGTCTTACGGCTGTTATCAAAATGGAAAATACAAAAACAATTGTAGAGATAAAGAAGGAAGAGTGTGTGGGTTAAATACATGGCCATTTTCTGGCTTATCAGGCCTTGGTTTGCTTCTAACTGAACAAACAGTTTTTGCATGAAGGTCAGTGCTGCCCTGATGCTCTGTTTACTCTCAACCAGATGGTTTTTAGGTTGTTCTTTTGATGCTAGACCGTTTTTGCGCTCAACTTTAGGAATGTGACCCAAAACCAGCAGTTTGGGTTCATTTGATTGTAACAATTTCTCCTGCAGGTTCATGGGAGACTTTAACCTGGTAGAGAGAGGCTTTAGGTTGTTTAGTCTTTCATTATTGCAGCTCTGATGATGCTTACAGTGAGATCTTTACACATTTGGATCCTCTCTACTTCTAATGCAAAGATCAGGTATACAAATGTCTGGACAGTCCTTCTGGAATCTGGAATTTTAGCAAGGCTTGGAAACTTTTTGCGGCTCTATTTCAGGTAATTTGTATATGTTGAGTAAAGAAATTAAAAGGTCTAGGGTTGAAAAAATAAATCGGATTAATCACGATAAATCGATTGTTGACATAATCTTCAACTATTTTAATAATCGATTATCGTTAAAAAGGGAACATAGAGACTTTAAAACATAGCAACACATCCTAAGCAGCAGTTATATCAAAATTGTAAAAAAAATATATTATATATTAACATTTTGCATTTAAGATAAAAAAAAAACTTTTTGTCTGTCAGCATATTCCCTCCTTAAGTGGAAACACTTTAGTTTCACCTGGTTTAATTTAGTAAAAAACTCTTTTTTTTAAGGAACCTTTGGTTGTCCGATTATTAATCGAAAAAATGTTTAGTTGCAGCCCAATTATCATCTTTAATAGAAACTTTTTAAGCACAATTAAAAGATGAAAAAAAAGTGTAGAATAAATAACTATATTTAAATCTATAGGTTTATAGCCTCCTGTTTCCTAATTCTCGTCCTTTCTCAGTTGATTTATTGGTTGGTTTTGGGTCGTTGTCTTATTGGAGGATCCAGTTCTACTCCAGCTCAATTATGGTCTAACAATATCCTAGGGTTGTAAATAATAATTGTTTTGTATCGATTCATCGATCCAACAGCCGACGATCCGATGCATCGACACGTCTGCAAGAATATCAATTCAGGTTTTTTTTTTCCCTCCGGTATATTTTTATCCATTTGCTCCTGGACGTAATTCTGACTCCCGTGCTGCGGTGGCGCTAAACCTATTTTGCCCTCTTACCTCGCTTCCTTTAGCCACTACCCTCTTTCCGCTTGCACACACACAGTCACGTAAACAAGAGGCAAGATAGACATAGCGGAAAGAAGAGGTAGACAAGACAGACGTGGCGGAAGAAAAGATGTATTCTTGAGTATCGAAAATAATCGAATCGTTGGGTTAGGAAATCGATACTGAATCAAATCGCCATGATAGGTGTGACTTACAGCCCTACAATATCCCCAATAATACTCTAATATAATGCAGATTCCATAGAAAGTTAAATGAGCTTGACAGGCCCAGTTGCAGCGCACCATAATACTTCCCCCTCCATGCTTCACAGCTAGCATGGAGGCTTTTTTTAGCATCTTGCAGTCAATACATGCCAGGATTGCCTAATACATTTATGGAAAATACACTTTTTAACCTCTTTATATTCCCTTATATTAAAAAAAATTGCCACAGTCTCCCAGATAAATGTTTCATGCAGATTGTTGGATCTCAAGGGTTTTCTTTCTCACTTCAACACACAGAAGTAGGGCTGTGTTAAAAGAAGAAATATCCAATTCTGAACTGATTCTCATAATTCCTAAATATTGATTCTTGAAAATTAGTTTGGCTTTATTGATTTGCTCTTGAATGTTTTTATAGCATTATCATTAATAATGCTTTTAACACCAGGAATTTAATCGAAAAGAAATAATCAATGCTCAATCTTGGAAAACTGAATCAAGTTAATTAGATTCATTAAAGCACTTAAGTTAAAAGTTGATGGTAAACATCCATATGTGTAGATTTGCAGGTTTATTCACAAGAACACATTTTCTCTCCCTCCATATTAAAAAGCGGGTCACTGGAAAGGTTTTAGTTATTGTTTAAAATCATAGCCTACCAACTATAACAAGATTTGCTTCCTTCCCAGTGAATCACCCTGTAGGCAGGCTGCTTCCTCAGAAACCCACATGTTAAGGTTCAGTAGCTGAAGAGTTACAAGTTAAAGATGAATTCAGCTATGGGACTCCTCCAGCATACAGTAGGTTTCTTATTTTACAGCATCTTGGTACCTTGGCAGCAGAAGAAGCCCACACTCTGCAGGCTCACAGAAATAACAGCTGGCTCCCTGCCATTAACAGTGGAGATGAATCCTTAGTTGTATTGGGCCATCTCACCTAAAGTCCTCTTTATGTGGATTTTCTAAACCAAAACTAATTTAATTTTCAGCTTTAAACCCAATAAGACCGATCTGATGACAGTAGCACAGAGCATTTAAACACGGTGAAGATTTTTGAAGCATTAAAAATGGAAAGAAGGGTAACTGAAGGGACTTTATATTTGCATAATGTTTAGTTCCTAATCTGGTGGTCTAAGCTGATTTAAGACAACAGAGGTGACAGAAGTTGCTAAAGAAAGCTTGAAATCATCTCGAAGATGCATGAAGCCTTGAATCACAGTTGCAGAGTACCTCAAAAGGGGTATATTCTGTCAGCTAAGAATGGAAAGCTGAGGTTCACCCAAAATGGACAAAATTGTTACCTGCTTTTTTGAATTCGGGTTCAATTTTCAGATCCGGGGTAGGCAATTCTAGTTTCTGACGGCCGGTATCCTGCAACTTTTACATGTGCCTTTGGTTCAACATACCTGAATCAAGTAAATAGATGATTCAGAGAACTCTGGAGGAACTGACTGCATACTGAGCAGATAACTCAGCCAGTTGATTGAGGTTTGTTGAACCAAGGATGAATCTAAAAGTTAAAGGATACTGGCCCCAGGAACTGGAATTTCCCATCCCTGTTTCACATGGTATGGGTCAGACACACAATATGGAAGTTCAAATTAACGTGTGCGCTTTGGATGCTTTAGTATCAACAGAACATCTTTAAAATCCAATGTCACAGAAGGGTTGGGCATCGATGATTGATCGTGACCAGTTCTTACCTTTCGATTTTTCCCGGAATGGTTCAAATTTTTAATTTTGATTCCTAGCTTCAATGCCCAGTCCACTGACAGGAAATAGAAACTGCCTACCATCTACTTGTGAAGCAGTATTTCAAAGTGCGGCTTACAGATTGGATGAAAGTTTAAGTCATTTGAAGAATGGAGCCTTCTCTTTTCATAAGGAGGACTGTACGGTTATTATTACCCAATGGCAACATTTTTTTTTTTTTTTTACGTTATTCAAGCAAATCCAGGAACGAGCTATAGCAATCATCTTGGCAACCGAATGCTTCGGTTGCAGCCCCGAAACCAGTGACATCACACCAGATAATCGGCTCTGACAGGAGCTAAAGAGTTGGATGTTGGTTTTGATTTTGCTGCTATCTGCAATCACACAGAGATGTTAAGTAATCCATTGCTCTAAATATACTGCTGTATTCTTTTTGTTTTTTTCAGAAAACAAAAAGCCTAAAAATATTAATCTGGCGAGATTGTCAGGGGCAAACATGTGGGGCAGCAGTTGCTAGACCTGTTCATTGACAGGATTCTGTTAATCATCCATCGAAAAAGTGCTCGCTTGTAGAAGGTTCTCTAGTATTTTTGGTTGCTATCGCCAATAATTTCCGTTTGTGGTCCGGCCATGTTGGCTAGGTAATCTCCCAAAGTGATGTTACACATCCAGATTTGGTATTGGCATAAAAGCCAAAACTGGTGAAAGAGGGTTTTTCCTTTTAAGAAATTGCTTTCTTTTTATTCAATGGTACTGAATATGTCCAGACTCTAGTATTGATGGTAATTCAGGACAGGAGAGCACTTTCAAATAAATATTTCATCCCATCTATAAAGTTAAAAAAGAAATGACCAGTCGGCTACAGTTACACAAGTAAGATGTTCAAGGAATTACATCTCATTGAGAAGTTTAGACCATTTCATTCAGACAAATCACTGGTTAGCCAGCTGATTAAGGACATGTAAACTTTTATGATTCTTTTTCTTAAAAGAGTCGGAATCGAGAATCGAATGGAGCGGGAATCATTCAAATTCAAATAATGTCCAACCCTACATCCCAGCTTGGTTATTGATGCTGACCGTATCTTCATGACTACATCTTCTGATCGGCCCTTCTAGCACAAAAATATGCCATTTTACAAAGCTTGAATCATTTCCATCTGGTTTCTTGAGCATGGCAACCGGTTCAGCGGTCTGTGGCTTCACTAGATCTCCAATAGTGCATATTTGATTTATGGTGGAACAGGAGATTTGCATCCTGGATGCCAAACCACCAAATTTCTAGCTACTATATGATGCGGCCATCTCTGTGTGATAAGGTCTTGCCTCTGATGTGTCAAAGGTGTGTTCCGGGTGTTGTGGTCAGCTTGGATGAAGATGTCCACGGTATTGTTTTTACACCCTGTTGGGAACTGAGACGGTTCAACAAGGTCCTGGCATTGTGTCCCAAATAAAGTAGGCAATTGAATTTTTGGAAAACACAATACTGTGCAAATGTACGTTATTGTGGAAAAACTACCTGTAGTTTGTTTCCACTTTGAAGCAATGGTGTTGAAATAAAGCCTTTGAAAGACCTTCAGAAAGCCTAGAGATCCAGTAATCAATGTTCCCTTAAAAAATGACAAGGTGTGTCTCTTTAGAAGGAGAGTAGCAAAAAAACAAGTGATGACTAAGGCTGCACCAAAGTCTGCATACAGATTGTGCTTTGGGTTTGGCAGATTCCTGAATCATATCATTATGAAAGTCCTTGACAGTGTTCACCTCAAGTCACAACAAGCCCTGAATGTGAGTCTTGGTTTCTGTTGTACATGTTGAAACAGATTTATAGTATGAAAACATCATCTGCGTACCTCAGAGTTTGACGTGTTGCAAACCACAGTCTGACTGATTGATTAAACAAAGATTAGGGCTGGGCGATATGCCCTAATTAATCTAATCTAGAATATTTTTCCTACCAAATCGGATTAATCAAAAATTTTCTCCCTCATGTTTCATGTTGACAAAGGGCAACTGGGTTGACACTAAAACAGGCAATTGTTTTGACAGATTTTTATTTTCGGGTACCTTTTTTCTTCTGCTCCGCATTTTTTGTTCTCATAAACCCCCCAAATATATATCAGTTTCTACTGTTGCTATTCATACATTGGAAGTATGACATCATAGCCTGGGTATAAAGTCCAAACAAGCCTTTCTCCTGAAATAAGAGTTATTTTGTCTGTCCTTCAGGTGGAGGCGCGGCACGTGTGGTGACTGTGTCTCCAGGTCCGTTAACCAGAGTTGAAGGTCAGCCGGTTTCTATAAGGTGTGACGTCAGGGACTATGGAGGACCTAGTGAGCAGGTAAGCGCTGAACGGGTGCTGATGATGTGATCCACTCAAACACAGTGATATAAATATAAATAAAATCAAATTTTGAGCCAGTTTAATTTGATGATGACTAAAGATCTTATCCATTCCTCTTTACCCTGCAGGATTTCGAGTGGGAGGTGTCCAGGGAGGCAGGCGGTGCAACGGTTAAGATGATCTCCACTTTTGATTCAGCTTTCTCGGATGCTTCCTTCAGCAAGCGCATCGCTTCCGGCGACATCTCTGTACAGCGGCTCGAGGACAATGTGGCGGAGCTGAAGATCGGCGAGGTGAAGGCGCGAGACGCCGGTGTCTATATTTGTCGAACGCCGAGCACCGACTCTATCATCAGCGGCAACTATGAAGCTCAGGTCCAGCTTAGGGGTAAGAAGGAGCTTTTATCCAGACTCCCATGACAAAACATCCCACATTATGGTGCTGCCACTTCCATGTTTCACAGCAGGGTTTTCAGTGTTTGTCTGCCACTCATACTGTAACTGTGCTGGTTCATTTTTCAGCTTTCTCCACTCCTTATAACCCCCCTGCTGTTCATCTATTTATATCCTCCTGCACACACACACACAGAGCGCTGGTTCTAGACAATTACTGGCTTGCACAGACATTCAGCACACACACTCTGGTGGTGGGGAGCAGATGTCAGGTGGGAGTACTTGGCTCGTGTCAAATTAGAACAAGTGAGATGGAGATTTGCAGAGAATATGGATGACATTGTACGTCTGAAAAGGTGTTGGACATACAGCAGTGACATACAGCAGAATGAGGGTTATTTTCTATACCTTGTTTCAGTTCATTTCATGCTGGAAAAAAAGGCTCATTAAATCCATATGTGCTGCTTTTTAGCTTCAAAAACCATTTAGCATTTTTTTTGTTTCAAACTTGTGTACATTTGGCAGGGAAATCTTCATCTCTGTCAGTAAATAACATTGAAAATTTGATATATTGGTGTCATTTAGTTCTGGAAGACTTTGCTGAGGGTTTCAAGAAGCCTATGTTGTTTTTGTAGTGGGCTTGTTGGTTCTCTGCTAGTGGAATCGATTTTGCAATATATCATGATTTGTTTTGTTTTTTTAAATACGTTTTTCCCTAAAACACTACTTCTGCACCCCCGCCCCGGTAGATGGGGCCTTGCATAATGACTCAAACAACATGGCTACCTAAATAACTCGACGATGAATATCTTCTAACACAATATATTTCACAATATATCTTGATATTGCAATTTGTAAAAAAATATGGTATCCTGACCAGAGTATCGCAATGCATATTGTATCACATCGCTACCAATACTCATACCCTACTTTCTGCAAGTCTAAAAATAAAAAGTTGGTGCTTCGTTGCTTTATACTGCAATACATTTAGTTTGCAACATGATTTTAAAGATATTAGTAAAAGTTTGACGAGGCCATCAAAGCTAAGTCAGGCCCTCCGTCTTGTCCTAAAGCATACAAAATGTCATTATGCGGTTTCCGCTGGTTAAAGCGACTGATACAGTTTTTTAAGACCGATGCCGACATCTTGACATCAGTCTACCCGATCCTGGAATTGTGCTGCCGATATTTTTAGAAGTGATATTTTTCTTCCTCTATTTACATGTTAAAATGACACAGTTGGAGAGCAGATGGAGGGAGTGGGAATGTATGTCCTTCACATGATCTCAATGGATTGGCTGCTGAATGCACTTATTAATCAGGATGCAAACTACGCATATACATTTTATGCATTTAAATATGCTACCTGCCAAAATTGGCCAAACATTGGCCAATCCTCTAGAACAGGCATTCCCAAAGTTGGTCCTGGAGGGCCGCTGTTTAATTGAAAGCTGATTAACAGGCTTTTGCTCTACTGCAATCATTATAATCAGCTGTGCTAAAGCAGGGAAACCTCTAAAACTTGCAGGACAGCGGCCCTCGATGACCGAGTTTGGGGATGCCTGCTCTAGAAGGTTCAGTTGTCTCTGCACACTTTTTCCTTCCAGGAAACTTTACTTTATTCAAGCACTCTGTGAGTAGCAAGCTTCTTTAAATGCTTACTTTGCCTCGGCTGTTTGCTAGACAACTGTTAAATTTACATCCCCATGAAATGGGAAGGACCTTACATAACAGTGCAGTCCTGTGCTTAGTCAAGAGACGTTTTTTTGGATTGTGGTTTCAATAAGATAAACCAGTGAGTTGAAAGTGAAACTTTAAGCTTAAATATCAGGAACATGACAGCAGCCTGTGGAAACAATGAGAGTGAGAAAAGAAAAAAAACACTTTAGACAAGGCATCTGATTTAATACGAAGGAACTGATTTACCAAAACTCAATTTAAAAGGAAGTTTTAATAATTATTTTGAGGATTTAGGAAGTTTTAAAAAACGGACACCAAAAAAGCAGATCAGCTTTAGTTTATTTCTGTACATTGTAAAAGGAACTGCTCTTAAAGGAGGAAGTATTATAAACCAGTGTACCATAGGAACAACCTGTTTGACAACTGTTTAACCACCTCGGAAAGTTTTGCTTTTTCTCCTGATAGACATTTGCAACTCAAACATAAATTGATATGATCTCACCCTGCCTGATCTCACAGATCACCTGTGACTCTTCCTCATCTGATAGCAAAATATCAGCTATGTGTTGCATAACATCACATTTCCCTCCCTATAAGAAAGTGCTGAAAATGAGAAGACTGATGATGATTATCTTACATGCAAACATACAGGGACTCTCTAAAATCATGTAAAACACACACAAACATGAAGAATTAGTGTTTGGTAATAGACTGCAAGGTAAACCAACAGACCAAACAGTCATTAGCATTGATTTGCTAATTAGCACTTCAAGGGATTCTAATTTTCTTTAAGGTTTAAAAAAAGAGCACATTATTAGCTCAAACTTTAATTTCCCAGCCTTAAACATCACCACAAAGATTTGTTTCAAATACAAAGTCAATAATTCCTTTAAAGATCATAGACATTTTGTATTAAAACCTGTTTAACTGTTCCCACATTATATCTAATTGAAACTAACATGTTTATATGTTTGAATTTTATGTGATGATATGAAGTACATACAATACAAATGTATAGACTGGTTTGGAAAACTTTCATTTTCAATGCATTCTTTAAGCAGATTTCAATTGCAGTTACCCAAACAAACCATTCTGGAGCAACTTTATCCTCTTGTTGCCCTTATAGTCTCTGAAAATTGTAATTTTAACAGCAATTTTCAAGTCCTGCTACTGACTCTCAATTAGATATAGGTCTGGACTTTGACTAGGCCATTTTACCACCACTAAAGGCCAATTTATGCTTCTGATGGATAGCCTTTGCAACCGTCAAATCTGTCTCTGTGCACGAGCTTCTGCAACAGTCATCGAGCACCCTTAAAAAAAATCCTGACTTCGCTTTGGACGCTTGCAAACCAGCACAGACTTCAAGCGGAAGTGCGTGGACAAAAAGCAGCTGTTATTTGTCCTTGGTATGCCTTTCCGGCTGTAGGTGTAGTCGTCCTTCTCGATTCGGCAAAACTGGTTTGCGACCAGACCCAAGTGACATTTGATGTGTGCGGTTGCAACCGAATGCTTCGGTTGCAGCCCCGAAACCAGTGACATCACACCAGATAATCGGCTCTGACAGGAGCTAAAGAGTTGGATGTTGGTTTTGATTTTGCTGCTATCTGCAATCACACAGAGATGTTAAGTAATCCATTGCTCTGAATATACTGCTGTATTCTTTGAGTTTTTTTTAGAAAACAAAAAGCCTTGGTATGCCTTTCCGGCTGTAGGTGTAGTCGTCCTTCTCGATTCGGTGCGGGTTGCGCGATTTTTAAAAACTGAGGAACAACTACAATGGACAATTACGATGAAAGGTTAATCTGTCTTTTTGCCAACTCCATTAACAGAACCTGTTCCTCTTCAATGTCTAGCAACTCTAGATCCATCTCTGTGACCGTGACATCTTGCAGATGTGCCATTGTTGTTTGGGAAAATAAACACTCCCACCGACGCCGTCGAAGTTCTTGTGACCATTCGCCAAAGTTTGTGAGTTCCAGCGAGTTTGCGAGTTCCAGCCAAAGCGCTAGGCTCCCCCTAGTGGTTTGGCTGGAAACTGCTGTGCGTCCCTAGAAATTCCAGACCGACGATGCAGAAGCATACCAGCAAAACTGGTTTGCGACCAGACCCAAGTGACATTTGATGTGTGCGGTTGCAACCGAATGCTTCGGTTGCAGCCCCGAAACCAGTGACATCACACCAGATAATCGGCTCTGACAGGAGCTAAAGAGTTGGATGTTGGTTTTGATTTTGCTGCTATCTGCAATCACACAGAGATGTTAAGTAATCCATTGCTCTGAATATACTGCTGTATTCTTTGAGTTTTTTTTTAGAAAACAAAAAGCCTTGGTATGCCTTTCCGGCTGTAGGTGTAGTCGTCCTTCTCGATTCGGTGCGGGTTGCGCGATTTTTAAAAACTGAGGAACAACTACAATGGACAATTACGGTGAAAGGTTAATCTGTCTTTTTGCCAACTCCATTAACAGAACCTGTTCCTCTTTAATGTCTAGCAACTCTAGATCCATCTCTGTGACCATGAAATCTTGCAGATGTGCCATTGTTGTTTGGGAAAATAAACACTCCCGCCGGCGCCGTCGAAGTTCTTGTGACCATTCGCCAAGTTTGAGAGTTCCAGCGAGTTTGCGAGTTCCAGCCAAAGCGCTAGGCTCCCCCTAGTGGTTTGGCTGGAAACTGCTGTGTGTCCCTAGAAATTCCAGATCGACGATGCAGAAGCATACCAGCAAAACTGGTTCGCGACCAGACCCAAGTGACATTTGATGTGTGCGGTTGCAGAAGTCTAATCTGCCCTTAAGGGTTAGGTCTCTTACTACCAACAGGTTTTATTTATTTTTTTTGCTTAACACACCTGCTTATCCCCTCTGAGCAACATCATTATCCCTTTTGCAAGAAAGCCTTCCCACAGCATGATACCACAACCATTGTGTTCCAGGTAACAAGCAGTGGTATTTTTTCTTTATTTACTTTTACCACAGAGTTTTTCATGTCAGATAAAAAGTACTACTTTGATCTCTGATCTCATCTGGGTAGAGCACTTATGGCAAACTTTGGACAGGATAACTTATGCCATCCTTTCAACAGTTGTTCTTTTCTTTCCTCCCCAACTAGGTTTTCCTGTAAACAAAGAGCAGAAGATGTTTGGAAATCAAAGCCCACATAAAATTGCCCTAAATGGCAGCATTTCCTCTATGTTAACTGTAAATGCCCTTTATTCATATAGTACTTTATTATGTCCAAGGAATCCAAAGCATTTTACACTGATAGTGAAAAGTTACATTGTAGCCACAGCTGCCCTGGGGCAGACTGAGAGTAGTT